TAGACTGCGTCAAGGCTCGCCCCAAGTCTCTCCAGGACTGGACTCTCGACTGCGTCTATCGTGCTGTGCTCCCCAAGACCAACTCAAACTCTCTTTATTCATTTTCAAAACTCTAACCAATTACAAAGCAGTAAAAAGACTCTAGGGCGTAACCTTCAATCATAAAGCCAATCACACTAAGTACTGAATACGTCATATATTTGATTAATCGTTCACTACATTAATAACTACGAATACAAACTGTCAGAATTAATCCGAATAGCTACGGTTATCTCGTAATTAGTTCCAAATCACTGAGCCAAGTTCCGTCCAAAACTTCAAATAGGCCTAAACGATGACAGGCATAACACAGCAATTCGCTAATAATCAGCTAATTAAGTCGGTCAACAGATACGCGTAAACAAATCCATGACAGTACCTCATCTCTGTATATTCTCACTATTTTGTTCAGATTAGTCTAGTATATATAGGTCGACCATATGTTAAACATATTTTTTGATGAGTAATATCCCCGCCTAAAATGTTCCCAGTGTAAATATTACTATTCAGGAACTGTTATAAAATTCATGTCATATTCTATAAGGGACCAACCGATTAATGCCGTATATGTAGTATTAATCGAGGAACAAGAAGCTAACCATTGAATTTACTGATGACCTGTTAGGGCAGAAATTATATTTCTCTTTAAAACCACATTTACACGTTTGCCCTTCGTGTTCGCATCTAAATTGTAGCCATTATTCTTCCCACCAAATTATGGTAATGGTATATTATTGTATTGTCCAATACTCATATACTGTCATATGCTTTTGCCCAGTATGTGTCGTTAGTTATAATAATTTATTTGTAAAAAGAACCTTTCCACTCAAATTTCAGTAATTGAAAGCTTGTCACTGTGTTATTATCTTTCCCGCTTTTATATACTTTCAAATTCATTCATTCAAATTCATACTGTCACTGCAATAGCTCGTTCCTTTCAGTTAGTATTATCAGAGCGAGTTGAATTTAATGTGACTACATGCATATTTTAGTCATTACTTTCATGACACTTCTAAATTAGTCTATTAAAGCACTTTATGAAAATTGTGTTGTATCAATAATTATTTTCTTGGCTATTATGATAAACATTTACTTTTTTTATACATTAACATATAAAAACAGTGCGATACAGGAGACTCTGCTTCTTATTTATCAAGAACAATAAGCCTCAAAAGAAAAGAAAAAATGACACACGAAGACTAATTCAACAATATTGTACACTGATTTATGCAGCGACACAGATATCGCCAGTTATAATTTACAGTCTAATTAACTATCATTGAACTAGACTCAAACTCAAGATCCCGATTCTGATCAATGTATATTTGAAGGTATTCCTCCAAACTTAGATAATTACCATATGCGATGAACGCTTGTGCATTCTGACTAGTTAGATGTATAAATGGTGCTCTTGGGTTTACTGATATTTGTTAACAAATCTTGGACGTATCTGCTATGAAAATGTTAATGTTATTTATGCATATTTCAATATTCATGACCTATACATCTCGATAAAGTCAGCTCGCCAGTGTAATAAACACCGCGTTGCAGATGGTGATTTCTTGCATTGATGAGAGACAAGCCATGGTGTTACTGGTCATAATTCTCCACTGCGAACTTAAATCAACTGGCATGAAAGTTTTAGTATTATTTTAGTGGGTGTGTCAGTGTCAACATATGGTGCAAATTAGAGATGATTTGTTGATGAGGAAATAATGTTGACCTTGCCAATTACTTCACATTAAATTCAAGCTGCCAGTATTATCATGAATTAGTTTTCGCGTATCTGTTGACCGACTTGGTTAGCTGGTTACTAGTGAATGGCTGTGTTATATCTGTCATCATTTCGGCTCATGCGAGGTCCTGGACGGAACTTGACTCAGTGATTTGGAACTAACTACGATATAACCGTCGCCATCCGGACCACTATTTCAGTTGGTATTTGTAGTTTATTAATATAGTGAACGATTAATCAGTAGATAAGACGTGTTTAGTACTTAGTGTAATTGTCTGTAAGATTGGAGGCCACGCCCGGTTATAGACTTTAAACTTCTTTGTAAATGGTTAAGTTTGATACGTAATAACGGTCTAAGTCTTTGGTCCCAGAGAAAGCTCCATGATAAGAGAGAGTCTTGGTCAGTCCTGGGCGGACTCCGACCAGGCAGTTTGCCTTGAGGCGTTCTGGATGTGGCTATTGAAACGTATTTCGTTCTATGCGTCTAATTTGACTGTAAAGCTTAAAGGACGGCAGTAGTCGTGCCGCGTCCAGTTCGATATTAAACTCGTAGCGACGTATACAACGCGTGTAAAATACATTGTTTATTTACATGAAATTCGATCGCGCGCTGCGCGACGACTACCGCGCTTTAAGGGACTTTCCCGGTCTGGTACCTGAAGCAGACGTTTATAGAGACAGACAAAATCACCCATGACAGTATAAGTAGCCAACACCAGCTTTGCCCTACAACACCAATCTCTTAAGTGCCTTCTCTACGATACCCCTGCATATGTTTCGCTGAGTATTCTATAATAATGGGGGCATCCACCCACAATTCCTATTTGTTATTTAGTTCAGTTATTTCGCATTCTTAAGACATTATGTTCATACTTCAAGCTTCAACGAATTGTAATTCACTATAGATGCATTTATACTTTCTTATTCTGTTGTCAATTGTAAACCACTACAGTTGATATTCGTATGGAGATTGTAAACCACTACAGTTGGCGTTCGTATGGAGATTGTAAATCACTACAGTTGGCATTCATATACAGATTGTAAACCACTACAGTTGGCATTCATATAAAGAGTGTAAACCACTACAGTTGGCGTTCGTATGGAGATTTTAAATCACTACAGTTGGCGTTCGCATGGAGGTTGTAAACTACTACTGATAAGATTCGTATGGAGATTGTAAACCACTACAGTTGGCGTTCGCATGGAGATTGTAAACCACTACTGATAAGATTCGTATGGAGATTGTAAACCAAAACAGTTGGCATTCATATGGAGATTTTAAATCACTACAGTTGGCGTTTGTATGGAGGTTGTAAAAAACTACAGTTGGCATTCATATACAGATTGTAAACCACTACAGTTGGCATTCATATAAAGAGTGTAAACCATTACAGTTGGCGTTCGTATGGAGATTTTAAATCACTACAGTTGGCGTTCGCATGGAGATTGTAAACCACTACTGATAAGATTCGTATGGAGATTGCAAACCATTACAGTTGGTATTCATATGGAGATTGTAAACAACTACAGTTGGCGTTCGTATGGAGATTGTAAACCACTACAGTTGGCGTTCGTATGGAGATTGTAAATCACTACTGATAAGATTCATATGGAGATTGTAAACCAA